CCATCACCATCTACAGATGTACATTATCATTCTGTACAAGAACATCTACATAGAAGAATAAAAGAAAATAAAGGAAAAATAACATAAAATAAATTTATGCTTACAAATAAATAATTTTAAATTTTCATATAACCTTTAATAATCTATTCAGTAAAGAGGAATAATGTTACTCACTATCATTTAAAGCTTGAAACTGTTGTTGTTTTTCCTCCATTTTCTGTTGTTTTTCTTCTTCAAGTTCTGGTGTACAATAACTACAGCGGTCACAATGACGATAATAATTCGTGTACAAACCAGATTTTCCTGAGCCAGTACATGTCCAAGTTAACACTAAGTGACAATCGGTACAGTATTTTCGACGATCAGTTACAGCAGATCCACAACGAGAGCAATTCCATTCGATTTGTGAAGAAGACATAATCCAAGTGTATAAAGCGTCTGTTATCGAGCAAAAGTGTGTTAAAGAAAACGAAGAACGAAAAGAAATGAAAAAAAAATCAAAGTTACACCGAGAATAATCTAACCCTAAGACGAAGCTAAGACAGAATAAATAAAATATTATCTCACATCAAGCATATACCGAAAACAAGATATCAATAAGTACGATATAACGTGCGTTTGATACAGTGATTCAATGGATGTACTTATCGATTGTCATTCTTAGTAATATAATAGATCCGAAATAGTAACAAATCAGTAGCATTATACGTGAGGTACAATTGGTAAAAAAATCATATTTTTCTGATGAGTGGTTGAAGTTACATCAACAAACGAATGTTGAGGTATTCGGGCGGTTGATCGCGCCCATATATATATATATATCCGTTAATGACAAATGGAGAGGCACATTAAATGTCTTTGATCCCATTGTGGGCATGATGTTTATTCGACTAGTGCATTACATCCAAATGTGCACTATCTAATACATAACGTGAGCTTATATAGGAGAGAGATGGAAGAGAGAAGAGAGAGAAAAGAGAAAACAACATCAGAGGAGAAAGGAAAGAGGAATAATATAACAGAACATTACGCAATCGTATCTTTCAGATATGAAGAACACGTTTATATACGATGAGGTCAAGGAGAGAACAGACATAGAGGAATAGTTTAGTATACGACTGAATGGCGTTACACAATGAGAAGCGCGTAACGACAGCAAGAGAACAATGTTAAATCACGCATGGATGAACGTAAGAGCAACACAATCCACAAACACTGTGTATCATAGATTGTATAAGAACACACTGAGAAATACAAGATATCACATAAGCTTATACGCCCGTTGGCACACTTTTCACATACATGTAGTTTGAATTCCGCATCTCTATTCATGGCGCATTAAGCTTCGTTTTTGATACTGTTCACTATTAGTTTTGCATAAGCATTACGACTCTTTTAGCATTTTCATTCATAGAGATATGTACTTCATGGGTTCTATATTCTGCTTTTACAGGGTGTTCCAAAAGTCACGATTACTTAAAAGACTTCCGTATAATTCCAATATCAATGAGGTAGTGAATCAAGAGCTTTTATTTGGAAAAGTAGTGTAAGACACTTTTTTCTATGAATGTAAGGGTCGTAAATATTATTTAACAACACTATCTTTAGCTTCAGCACAAATATTTATCTGTTTCATAATTTAAAAGAAAAACACCCTTCAAAGTTTCTGTTATACGAGCTAATGAAGAAGAGGAGTTTTACAGTCGTTCTGGGAACATTTACTCCTTTTGATTGATCTCGTATCTAACATTTCCTCGAATCAGATATGAGTCAATTTTGACAAATTGGTCAGCTACACATCTTGCCAAAAACTGGTGATATTATGGTCATTACATGCAAACTAAATGTTTACAGAACAATGGGAAAAGATCTGCCGTTTGTTGAATTGGAGATCGCAAGAAATCTGAATAAAAAGAGAACAAATTTGGAGAATATTCTTCTCTGAAATTATAAATCTGCTAAACTGTTGTATTGAAGACACAAGTAACGTCGTTAAATAACATACATAAACTTTGCGTTTATAAAAAAAAATACTATTCAACTGTTCCAGATAAAAGAAATTATGGAAATGAGGCTTGGTTGATAATGGGATTACAGGCAACTATTCAGTGAACATAACTATGTAGTTTATGATCAGTTATGAGAATGAAATGAATTATATCCAAGTAAAATCTGGTTGCATTGAAGTCTAGATTCGAATACTCAGTTAACTAGCATTGAATTTGATATATATCATAGGTACACGAACACTTCATCAAAATGAGTGAAGAAGTTCTTCAATAAAAGCCTTACATCACTGTCCAAGAAATAGCAATACTACCATTGCTTCAGTTTCTCTTTTTTACTTCTCAACTAGACTATTTCAGCAACAGACTTCGAGATATAGTCATACATATGTCACCAAAACTACTTTTCTTCTGACTAATGGAATTTTGTCGATCATGGAAAATTTTCTGAATTTCAACTCTACCATTTACTTTCGCAGAGCAAAATATCATCTGCTCTTATTATTTAAATTAGCTTCATTTTTTTAATAGTAGTTCTCTACTTTAAGATTGTTTTTTGGTTGCATTTACTAAGAAAATATGATGTATTTCTTTACAAGCTAGAGAAATAAATTAGAAAAATGAACTCTCGATGTCTTATTCCTCCAGCCACTCTGCATAATAAACATATTGTACCTTTAGAACAACGATAGTTAGAAGATAATTATAAGAACTTTATTACGAAAGTCACGGATTTTTGGTACAATAAAATTTCTTTCATTTCAATAAATAGTTTGAGGAGTCAAGTATAAAAAATTCTGGCACTAATATCATCATTAGCATGTCGAGACATCATCTGCAATCTTTAGGAGCTTTGTAATAAAATTTGGTGATTCAATGTTCTCCTCATCTTAGTTGTATTTCAATACAAAATTTCACAATTAAAAGCAAAAAAGAATCATAAATGTACATATTGAGAATCACTCAGGGTTACGAAAGACTGACATGGAATTGATGTCGGTTGTGAATCTAACTCATCTACTCTTCTATTTGCGGTATCCCGAATGATGCTCCCCAGACACTTGCTCCCGCGACAGTTGCTCCCCAATGACACTTGCTCCCCGAACACTTGCTCCCCAATAATACTTGCTCCCCAATGACGCTTGCTCTTAAATGGCGATATCAAATAGAATTTTTATTAAATACAAGTACAATGTATATATCTATTAGACTAAGGCAGATTATAACAATAGGAAAAGAAAAATCTCATTCTTTATATAAATAATTGAAATATTGACATTTAATTAATTTGTTGTGGTGTAATAGTATAAGATCACGCAAGTAATTACAAGAAACTATGAAAACAGGACACAACATTGCCACTTTATTATATTTTATTATAACAGTAGTTCTCTTGGTAATATACAGTATTCTTCTCTCTTTTGTTCTGTATTAATTATTGATGGATACATCTATATCACAAATTTTTTAAATTTTAGTAAAATGCAGTAAAAATAGCTATATGCTTACAATTCATGAATTACACATTAATTTTAAAATACTGCACGGATTTCTAATTATCTCAGCCTGCTCATATTTTTACTAATTTTCAAGTCTTTACAAATTATTTTGAATTTTTCAACACAAAAGTCACAGCTCGAGACCAAATGAAATTGGGGAGCAAGTGTAATTGGGGAGCAATTGTTCGGGGAGCAAATGTCGCGGGAGCAACTGTCTGGAGAGCATCATTCATGGATTCTCTATTTGCATTATGGGAACTTATTTGAAAGTGTCCATGGATTCTAATATTATGACCTTGTTTACCTGGTTTATGAGTTTTATCACTTTTTGTTTCTTCCATCTAATCTTATGTAATTCAACAATACATTTTACTATAAAATTTATAATATAATAAAAGACGACCCATAATAGTGTAAATAGCATAAAATCATATATTGTCTATATTTTCAGCATCAATTTAATGCTTAGAAACTTTGAGAATATACTTTCATGCAATGGTAGAACTGATCCGAATTTTTGGCAACAAGTCCTGGTCGCATCTGCGTCACAATATGTTCAAAAAGGAACCATGGCCATCTAGTGCATCTGTTTTAATCTTTTCTTTAGGTAGCCCATTCATAGAGATATTGCTGTAGGGCATAGGTGTATGCTATGCTGGACGTTGGGATGGAAGAAACTTGTATGCCATATCTAAGTATAAGTATGTAAAGAACTTATTGTTCATTTCATTATAAATTTGATTCTCATTGCAGAAGGCAAGTTTACAGAGACGTGGGGATAAATTTGCAAAGAACATGAATAACATGAATAAGAACGACTAGAGCTAGGCTAACTCTTCGCATCGTCTGATGTATTATATGATAGTTGACTAAACTATTCGACCCATGTAGTTCTTAAGAGGTTAAGCTAATCTAATTATTTATCCTTGAAAAGTTCACATTTTGTTATTTTTTCTACTTCTTATCTTTGGGAAAATTACAGTAACAAAATCTGAAAACAATTGAATAAATTGTTTTGTGAGAACTTGAATAAAGTTCCTTCGAAAACACTGTCATTTAACAAGCAGCTCAAATGAAAATAAAAACTACAAAACAAAAATCTCCTATTGTTTCAGAAACATTCGTTGAATTAGATATTTATTCCTAATTCATGATTCTTCGTTTATGCTAACATAGTAGGGAAACCATTCAAACTTATCATTGTGAATAGAAAATAACCCAGAATTTTTTATTTATTTTTCTATCACCTTCGTATTATTTTGTTTCGTCGTGCACAGATTGCGAAAGAAAATATAAAATATTGTATGATACCTGATTAATTAATCAACACAATTTTCACCAAAAGAGAAAGAAGGAAAAGTGGAAGTGGTCAATATAATATTTCTTACTTTCGATGATGTACGATGGTTTCAATACTTAGTAGAATAGTTACACAAATTCGTTTATATAGGCATATAAAAAGTAATTTCTTTTTCTTGTTCCCTCCTTCGAAAAGAATTCAAACACACTCGCATTTTCTCCAAGGTTCTTTCTTTTTTTTACATTTTTTAGTCAACATGATTCTTTTTCGTCGATAATTGATTTTTGTTTTTATTCAATACCTAGACGATAAATAATCCATTGAATGCCTTTCTTTCTAACAATATTTCACTTTATGCATCATAAACAATGTTTCTTTTTCTCTGATGAATCAAAAGTTCTGTCACAAAAAAGGCAAACTTTGGCACTTTTCAATTTTCGAAAATAAAATTCGTATGAAACAGTTTAAGAATTGAAATGGTGGAGAAATAACACCTTACGATTTAATATTAATATGCATCTGCATTATGAACTATAAACAGAATGTTGCCTCTAACGTATCGTTACGTTACGCAGCAAACTAACGCCATCTTCTCTGCACCATTACTTCGTAT